GGTTCAATTCCTGGTAAGGGCGTATGCCTAGGTTGCAGATTTGAGCCCCAGTCTAGGTGCATATGGGAGGCAGCCAATCAGTGTTTCTCTCTTGCATCATGTTTCTCTCCCTCTCTTTATAGAAAGCAATGAAAAAGTGCCCTTGGGTAAGAATGAAAAATAACAAGATTCTCTGTTTTCCTTGAACTTTCAACATTTTACTATTGATGTTCTTGGTGTGAGGTTTTTTTTGGTTCATCTTGTTTGGGACTCTTTGTGCTACTTGGACATGGATGTCTTTCCTTTGTCAGGTTAGGGACATTTCCAGCGATTATTTCTTCAAATAGATTTACTGTTCCTTTCTCTCACTCTTCTTCTTCTGGGATCCCTGTGACACAAATGTTAGTACATTTGATGTTGTCCCAGAGGTTCCTTATGCTATGCTTATTCTTTTAAATTTTTTATTCTCCCATTTGGTGATCTCCACTATTCTGTCTTTCTGATCACTGATCCATTCTAGTGTATTTTTCAATTAGTTCAGCTCTGATCAGTTCTTTATAGTTTTTGTCTCTTTGTTGAAGTTCTCAGCTTGCCTACAGTTTGATGAGCATCTTTATGACTGTTGTTTTGAATTCTTAATCTAGTAGATAGCCCCTTTCCATTTTGTTTAATTTTTTTTTCCTGGGGTTTTATATTGTTTTTTGTATGGAACATATTCTTTTGTCTCCTCATTTTGCCTGTTTGGTTCTATGCATTGGGTAGACCACCTGTGTCTCCTGGTCTTGAAAATGTGGCCTTTTTTAGAAGGTGTACCATGGTGCCAAGTGATGGTATCCCCCCTCAACCCCCTCTCACCAGAGCTATGTGCTCCAGAGGTGTTCCCTGTGTGGCCTTCTGTTGTGATTGGGGTACAACTGCTAAGGACACACTGGCAGGCAAGGCTGGCGCTGGGCACAGATGGCTGTGGGGCCTGGCCATAACCCTTTAGCATGCACTGATGTCCAGAGCAGGGCTTTGGTGCGGCTGGCAGTGAGGCCCAGCCTTGACTGTTGAAAACACACAGCAATGTGCTGGTGCTGCTGAGGCCACCCACCAGGTATGGCAAGGGTGCCAATCTGGTGGGTCCTCAGAGAAATGCCAGGGCAGGGTCAACAGTGCTAGCAAGATTAATGGAGAAGTCAGAAATGGCATCTGGTAGTATTAGACTAGCTAGATGGGAGTAAAGAAAGATTTTTAAATGGTGCCTGCCAGTAGTTGTATCTCTGACAAAGTTCTAACCAGGTCCCTGTCCCTCCAGCACACACCCTAAAATTAGTCAATGTGTCACCTTCTTACAACACCCAGGTGCTTTCAAACTGCTGCCTCTGCACTGGGACTCAAAGAGCACAACCTTGGTTTCCTGCAGCCCTTTGGCTTTCCCAGCTGTAAGCCCTGCCAGTTTTCTAAGCTAGATGTTATGGAAGCTCCTTTTTCTGGTGCCTGTTCCCAGGCTTGGACTCAGACCCCTTTCTTTTCAGGTGGGGACCTTCACGACTGTGGTATCTTCCCCACTTGCTGGTTATCACACAGGGAGTGGGGTGGTAGTCTGCGAAGAACTGTCTCTGTGATACAGGAATGCAAGCAAACCCTCATGGCCTCCAGGGCCAGGCCATCGGGAACATTACCCTGGCTGTGGCCACAAATGGGACACCAGATGCATGTTAGAGTGCCTTTCCAGGAAATACTGGCACTCTGGAATGGGGCACAAGGAGAGTACGAAGATGGTACATGCCAGCTGGAACTAGGCAGAGGGGGAGCAAAAGATGACGCTTGCTTGGGGTTGGGGAACTTGCCTAGATTTATTTTTTAAAAAATAAATCACCCGCCAGCTTCAGTGTTCTGGAGGGGATCCCAGCAGGCCCCTAGATATGTTAAGTTAGATGCCTGCCTCTGCACTGGGAGGCCAACATTTTAATGAAGGTAAGTGACCCACTTTCAAGTACAGTCTGGACACAATTGGCTGCCTCTGCACTGGGCCCTGGGGCAAGTGAGTTCATGTGTGAGCTTTTGTGGGTTTCATGTTTGCAAGCCCTGTTGACTGTCAAAGTTACATGTTTTGGAGGTTCATCTCTTAAGTGTAGGTCTTAAAACTACAATGTGGTGTACAAACCCTTTGCTCCTTGGGGAAAAGCTCTTGAGTTTTGAATTCCCTCCGATTCATGGGTTGCCATGCCAGGTGTAGGGTGGATGGCTTGATTGTGTCTCGGCCTCTCCTAGTGACTTCAGTGTGGTCTCTTTCTCACTTGCCTGATGTGTAGGAGTCACTGGGACAGTTTTACGATTGTTTCAGAGGAAATTATTCCATATATTGCTGTAGATTCAGTATGTCCATGTGAGGAGGTGAGTTGAGGATCTTACTAGGTCATCACCTTGAACTGGAAAACTTCTTAATTAATTCCCAATGCAGCCTCCTATGAGTCACTTGAAAAGAGACAAAAATCAATTTGACTGGTCATAAGTTAGGAAATTATATTTTATATCTCCTCTAGAAATATAAAAGCCACTCTGAAGTTGCATAGTAGATAGCTCCAAAACAAAAATGTGTTGAAAGAAATCTGTACCCTAATATAGCACGATTTTCTGCTAGGTAATTTTAGACCTTACTTTGAAAACACCAAATTACCCACATTATTTGACAGAAAGTAGAAAGGAACCTTGAAAAGGGAAGTGGGGTAAAGCAATTTGCCAGTACAACCTGCTTACTTACCTGAAATTATTCTGCTTATGAGCTCTTGGTATTTCTTGATAGTTGCCTTTTAAGCCTGAAGAATCTAGTCCGGTCCCTTCCCCATGTCCACATAAATAACAAAGTTATATAAATTCTCACACCAGTTAAAGGAAAGTGAAACTAAGTCTTGAAGATAGTAAAATTCTGTGTATTAACGATGAGCAGCTATACATACGCAAAATTAATCAGGGTCCCATAGTCGAAAAATTCTAATGATTTATTTAGAAAGGCACATGCGGTAAAGGGACAGAGTCAATATAAGGTGAAGTTCCAGGAAATGAGCTAGTGGAATAAATATCTTGACTTCACTCTTTTTTCTCTTCAATCTGCTTGTGAACACTCTTGGCAGAAGAAGCCAGAGGACCCAGGAAATCATTGATATGGTTCATACCAACCTGCCAGGGCAGAGAGCAGGATAGAAAAAGGTGTCAAGTGTGTCTAGAGTGGAAAAAGAAATACCCAGGATGAGAATGACCACAGGCTGGGCAGCCTTACCAGGGATTAGTCTTGGAGCAACTCCAGCCTGAAATAATAACCTAAGGAGTCTCCAAGATAAGAGCAATAACTGGGGTATTCTTTTTTTTAATGTGCAGCCTAACCTCCACCTTTCACTAAATTTTAATCATAAGTAAAAGGAAGTTTTTACAAGGTTTTCAACTGGTTACACAGCTGTGCAAGCAGAGCACATCATTGAACATTATATTAGTAAGGATATTTCAGATATCTTTGAGTGGTGAAACTTTTACTGTTTTTTTACAATAGAAAAAATGAAAGGTTGTATGTGATTCAGGGATGATCTGCAGGCAAAAGTGTAATGGTGTGTGAGATATGGCCTTAAAAGAACATAAAATGTAACATGACTGTATATCAACAGCAACATTTCCCTAAAAATTTGGTACCAAGAGGGGAGTTAAAAAAGACATTTTCCCATTGTCTCTGGAGTGAAAACTGAAGGACACTTTCCAGATCCCTTTATATTCAATACTTAGGTACTTTGTTAATTTCAAACCAAGAACACTTCACATCTCGCTTTTTTTTTTACATTGCTTTTGATGAAGTTTTTGTCAGCTACCATTGATATGAAAATTGCAAATTAAACTTTTTCTTGGAAGTATACTTAGTTGTACAAGATGGTATTTGATATGGTGTTTGTATATTCAAGTCAAAGCCAAGACCATTCTGTTGAAAGTTGTTTAAAAAATGGTCTATTCAGCCCTGGCTGGCGTAGCTCAGTGGATTGAGCGTGGGCTGCTAACCAAAGCATCACAGGTTCGATTCCCAGTCAGGGCACATGCCTGGGTTGCAGGCCACGGCCCCCAGCAACCGCACATTGATGTTTCTCTCTCTTTCCCCCTCCCTTCCCTCTCTAAAAATAAATAAAATCTCTTAAGGAAAATATTTTTTAAAAAATGGTCTATTCATATGTGATGCTACAAATGAATCAATCTTAAGTTCTGGTATGTACTCTAGCATAGGATGATCCACTTGTGTGAGGGATCTAGGGAGTGGAGTGAACAAATTCGGAGATGGAAAGTAGAGGGGAAGTTACTGGGGTTGGGAGAATATGGAATGGGAGATTCCGTGTAGTGGGTGTTGTTTATGCCACTGAACTATATACTTAAAAATGGTTTAATGAAAGATCTGGAGAAAATAGAACCCTTGTGTATTATTGGTGGGGTTGTAAAATAGTGCAGCCACTATAGAAAACAGCAATTACCATTTGAACTAGGAATTCTACTTCTGGGTGTATAAATAAAAAAAACTGTAAAGATCTGATGTATTTGGACACCCATGTTCATCAAGGTGGAAGCAACCTGTGTCCCATGGCATATGAATGGGTAAACAGATGTGTTTACATACATACAATGGTGTATTATTCAGTCTTAAAAAGGGAGGAAATTCTGACAATTCTATAACATAGGTGAGCTTTTGAGGACATTATACTAAGTGAAAATAGCCAGTCACAAAAAGACAAATATTTGTGACTTTATTTATGTGAGGCACTTAGAGTAGTCACATTTATAGAAACAAAGTAGAATGGTGATTGCCAGGGGCTTGGGGGATGGAGGAATGGGGAGATATTTAATGGCTATATAATTTATTTTGAAAATTTTAAGGAAAAATGTTTTAGAGGGTAGTAGAGGGTAGTAACTAATAAAACAATTACCTTTAAAAGATGGTTAAAATGGAAAATTTTATGTTAAGTATATTTTAACTACAATATTAAAAATCATATGCTTTTTTTTCCTTTTAGATAACTTAAATATTGAAATATTCACCAGTGCAGAATCACACTGTGGATCAGTAATAGAGAGGGAAATTATAAATTGTTCCTCTCCCGAGATACCTGCAGAATTTAATGAACAGTTTAACACCAAGAAAAACAAACAAGAACTAAGAAGTCAGGATAAAGGATTGAACTTAGAAAAAGAAAATAGTTGGTATAATGACCATTGCAATCAGTTCACAAGTGCAGAGAAACAAACAAAACATAGGAAGAAATGTCCTAAAAGGCCTGATTGGAATATAAATAAGCCACTCAAAGGGTATATTCCAGCATCAGAAAAGTACCCTAAGCAGCTTCAAAAGCAGAGAGAAGAAAAAAAGGTAAGAAGGCAAATGGAACTGCTTCATTTGGTAGAAAGAAAGAATCCTGGAAACCTCTCTCAAAATAGAAGCACTTCACCAGTTCATTCATCTCATCAGGAAACTGAGTCAAAGTTCAGGTGGCATCTAGTCAAAAAGGTAAAGCTCTTCTGTCTCAAATACATATTTTAAAGTATATGTTGTTTCTAGATTTAAAAGTTCCCCACATGCATGTTTTCACAAGACTGTTTATCTGAAATTTGCTTTAATTTACACCCGGGGCTAGCAAACTATGGCCCATGGGCAAATCTGCCCTGCTGCCTGCTTTTGTAAATAAAGTTTTAAAAATACACAGCCATCTCATTCTTTTTCTTTTATGTATTATCTTTGGCTGGCTTCACACAACAGCTGCTGAGTTTAGAGTACCAGTAAAGACCACTGGCCCACACAGCCAAGTGTTTACTATCTGGTCCTTTAGTTTACCCTTAAACCTTGTATGGATTAATGCTACTCTTCATTCAAACACCCATTCAGAAGTTTATGATCCAGATAGACAGAAGGTAATTTGTAAGATCAGGAATTAATGGCTTGGTTCTAACTCAGGAAAAATACAAAATCTATCCCATAATCTATTAACTTTTATTCAAATATTATCCTCAAATATTTTCCCCAACAAATAACCACTAAAGTATTTGTGGGAACATGTGGAAGTACTATTATTCCTTTCTGCATTTATCTACCCATCTTTTAGGAAGAAGAATGTCTGAAAATTAATTCTTTCAACAAAGAAAGGTATGTTAAGGATAGAATGATTCCACAGCTACTTAGTACTTTGTATGTGGTACAAAAGAGATAAAAAGTATTTGCTGAAAATACAGTTGAGATCAAGCATGTATATATAAAAAGTATTTGCTGAAAATACAGGTAAGATCACGCATGTATATATATGAAGACAGAAACAGGAAAGAGTGTGATTTCCAGGTGAGGAGTAGAGGTCTAAGGGAAAGGGTAGCTGGCATTTAAAATTACCTAGATTATTTAAGCTAAGTTGGACTGGGCTCAGGCCTCCTAGGCAGGAATGTGGGTGATGTTTTGTTATCTCCCAGCTTTAACACTTTTGATTTTCCAGATATGACAAGTGTCAAACTAAGACATTCTGCTTGGATTGGAGGGTGGGTGGGAAGAAATGAGTGGTATGGATAATGAGAAATTCAATTAACCAGTTGAAAATTTAGAATTGTTAGATGTTTTATTTTGTCTTTGTTCAAAAAACCGGTGGTTCAGTTTTGTCTCAGAATGTGGCTATAACAGCAAGTTTAGTTCAGATAGTAAAGTACATTACTTTATGATGAATTATTTGAGAAACATTTGCCTTAAATAACCTAGGTAGTGTTGATCCTCAGATCTAGTTTAATCCCTTCCTTGCCCCAACTGGCATATGGCATAGACTATATGTATATATTTTTAGCAAGTACTAGTAAAAACTTAATCCTATTTTGTTTCTAAAGGTGTTACAAGCATATTTAGGATAAACAGATGCGATTAAATAGTAGATATGCTTAATCTAAAATACACCATTTTTCATTAATCCCTATTTATGCTTTTTTTGAAAAATACAGGTCTCAATCACCACCAGTTTCTATGGTGAAAAACAGAACACAACAAACTCAGACATTAAAAAATAATTATGAAAGAGAGAACCTGATCTCAGGAGGCAATCAAACAGAATTATCACCTACAATTTCTGAACCATCTCATTTTATTCCCTATGTTCGAACCAATGAGATCTATTACCTTGATCCAGATGCACCATTGTCTAGGCCTCTAACCCAGAATCCTCAGTACCAAAATCCACTAAGTGAGTATTCTTTCCCTCTACAATTATAAATTCAAAATCCAAATTGGTATTCTGGTCCTAGTTCTAGAAAGTGTCCTAACAAGGTCGGCCCAAGTTTGGGGATCCATTACTAAATTTTTAATCAACTATCTTATTACTTGAATTTTGCTTGGTGCTTTCTTAGGATATACATTTATTCATAAATCCTTAGAATATACTGTAGTGTGGGGTTATATTGTTAGGAATATATTTGATTCTTGTCATTTTCATCTGGCTTTAGACTGTGACCAAGAACAAAGACAGCTATTTGACTCTGATTATGTCAGGGATCCACTTCTTAATCCTAACCTGGTGAAAAACAGGGATAGACAGCAAGCAATCCTAAAGGGACTGTCAGAACTGAGACAGGTATGAACTTTTTTTTTAATGAAGGATGTGACTGTTTCCTGGCTGTGTGTTGGAATGGCTGTTTTACTAAGTGCCTGGCTGGCTACATGATTTGTGACTTTACTACATCCCAGTTTAAAATAAAAATTTCAGCGTCAGGGTGGGGCAAAAGTAGGTTTACAGTTATGAGTACATGAAACAAGTTATTCTTGTATAATTCACTATTGTTATTTTCCATAAGAACAACTGTAAACCTACTTTTGCCCTACTCTGCACATGCTACTCTTGAATGGAAATAAAACAGGACTTTCAGTTTGCTTCACCTTGCCATCTTTAGAATTTCCAGCATGAAATCATGAGACAATTCAAATATTAAAACCATTTTATTGAATGAAAAAAACATACATTTGTGCAGTAAAATATCAATAAGGCCCTAAAACCAAAGGCAGAAAATACACAATTATGTTGTGATAGGTTCTCAGTAATGCAGTTCATGCTTTTTATAGAATGTGTTGGCAGTGTTCAGAACACAACATAAACACAAGTCCCAAAAAATAATATAATTCATTGTGAAATTATACGTGTAACCTTATCCACCAGACTATTTTTTATCCCAGACCAATTATGACTTCTCATCTTGCCTAGGTAAAAATAAAATTCATTATTTAAGGCTGTAACTTTTCTCCATCAGCTTGGCTTAAAAAAAAAATAGTAAGCTTGCAAAATTTTTTGCTGTTAGTTTTGATTAAAGTGTACTTTTTGTATTTGGGGAAAATACACTGTCATTTTAGGGGTGTCTTTTTCCATGTTCAGTCATTTACAAATACGTCTTTGATTTCAAATTGATTCTTTCTATAGAGCTAGAAAATCACTCGCACTAACACAGGATTATGAAGAAGACTGTCCTTTGTTTTTTAAATGGTAGGTTTGGTTACATATTGATTGAGTTATGTTACTCACGTTCGGTAATTCACACACTGAAGGTTTTTTTGTTTGTTTTTAACCTAAAACTACTAGCTTTGTGGAGACAAGGTCAAGTGGAGGAAGGACTATGATGTACACATTCACCCACATATTAATTATTCAGCAGGGCCTTAGATTAGCCACTGTTAGTGCAGGAAACACTAGCATTTGGCAGACAGGAAGAGGGAAACTCAGGCCCATAAAATCATGTAGACTTGGTTTTAAGATAAGTCATCCCTATTTGTTTCTATGCTAAAAATACAATCTTACAAATATTGTAATAGCTACAAAAGTCTAGTGGAGAATTATTGAAATTTTTTGAGTAATTAATTTAACATGACAAAGAGAAAGCTTAGACAGTAGCCAAGTATTTGAACTTAATACATGTTTTCAAAAATAAAATTCTGAATTAACAGGATAAAAATGTTAAAAAGGAATAACTTGCAAGTCTGCTGCATACCTTTACTAACATATATCAATGTAATTTCAGGGCCTTCTCCAGAAGCAAAGGGAGTTGGAAACTAATCTCATGCCTTTAGCTGCCAATCAAGAAGAATTTTAGTTCTTCGTTTTAAATGTAGAAAAATCAAATCCTTCACATTTGATTTGTCTTCCAAATTATAAAATGTCCTTATCACTTAACTATTTTTACAAATAGTCTAGGTTTACTTTTTAGATGCTTATTTAAAAATTGTATATTATGTAATAAAATGCTGTATATGTGTATATATATATAATTTTTCAACAATAAAACAGACACCTTTGTAAAAGTTTAGTAGTAATAAGAAGCATGTTTCTGCTCTTTCACCATCTGGGTATTTAAGTCCTATAAAAACACTTTCCTACTTACCTTAAACACAGTCTGGAGTTTCTGATCTGTTAGTAATGTTCTTCCACACATTTTATGTATACCTTATTAACTGAAATACCACTTATGTATTTTAATATACAAAAAGATTTAAAAGGGTAGAAACTCTTCCAAGTTGTTTTGAGGTGCCAAAGGAAAGTCTGATTTAATATATCCCAACATTACTAAAATAACTGAAATTCAGTTTAGGCTCACATGGTAATTTTCTCCAAATCCTATTTTTATGACTCTTTGCATTAGTAATGGAGAGGCAGTTATTGGCAATAGATGAGGGTTTAAAATTTACCTCCACCACATATTTTATCTGAGTTTAAAGTTTTTAGTCTAGCATTTAAGTACTTACCACCTCAAAAATATACTTCTTTTCTAAGACTGCCAATTTAAAAATTTATAGCAAACGGTTTGTTCCAAATTGTCCAATGCCTTTAATAAATTTATATTTTGAAATATGAAATTGAATTTGGGTAAGTCAAGGGCCACACAAGCATTGAAAATTGTAATTATCAAGTGCTCTAAAATAACAGGTTGACCAGAATTTTAACATGGCTAAGCCTGAAGATAAAAAAATAATGCTGCCTGGTATTAAGGCCTAAGTCCTATGTACACAGTTTATTTACTAAAAGAAACTGCACTGTTAGATAAATCTTGAGGTATTGAGCCAAAATCTTGTATTTATTAATATCACTGGCTTATACCTATGTAAAAAACACTATACAAAAAGCTTAAATGAAAATAAATACAATAGTTGATAGGTCATTTCAGCAAAAGTAGCTGGTATCATCTAACATTAGAGAAGTAAAGCCATTGCTGTCTACTATCCTTTTGCAAACGTCTAGTTTTATATATAAAACAGACTTCAATCTGAAGCCAAAGTACAGGTGATATACAAATGTAAAACTTAAAAAGTGCCAACATTAGATAATTCAAGTACAATATATGTTAAAAATATATATTTATTTCAATTTTCATATGCTTCAACTGTTACAGGCCATCATGATTTAAATAAGAGGGGAAAAATTTTTGAGAAAGGACAGAAACCTTTTGTTTCTAGAGAATGAAATATAAATTGTTAATTCACTTTTAAGAAACAGAAAAAGTCCGTAACAACTTATGTAAAAAAAAGTTACTATCATTATTTCTCTTTTAAATATGGCCTGGAAAATCACTTCTCCCCCAAGCTTTCAGTATAAGCAGATAAAAAGTAATTTTCACTTTCTTGAGACTGACTTGATGAAAGGGCATATGGTGTCCCCAAAAATGTCTGGTGAGTGAGAACATTAAAATGACTACAGTGATGGGACATACTTAATTGACTTTGATAAACCTGAAAGTTGCTATATGAATCTTGTTCAGCTGAACTGCTGTTCTGTCCTTCAGAGCTTACATCAATAAAAGCTCTTTCTTCAGAATCAATCTGATAAGTCTTATCTTCTAATAAACTTTTTTGCACGTCAAGAGACGACTGCAACTCAATTTGAATATTCTTTTTTTGATCTGTTCCACGTGATCCTTTGGTCTCTTTCGCCAAAATTTCTGAATGAAAATTGCTGTACACTTCTATTTGTGAGATTTCATCTCCTGAATCCAGAGACATATCCTCTTCATCCTTTTCATCGTTTTCTAAAAGAGCTACATTTAAAAAACAAAAAGTCCTCCTCTATTGAAATACACAATTTGTTTAAGTTTTAAAATTATACACTACTCACACAATATAATGCGTCAGGGTCTGCAAGTCCACAATCCCTTAAAGCTTGGTCTTCTGCCACAAGTTCACTTAGTCACAACACTCACACTAGGTGTGAATGTCCAGATAATCCGATGCTAAAAGCTTCTGCGAAATGTGTTCACGTTTAATGTTGGGAAATCCCAACTCCCAGCTCCAAAGGGGTTAATGTCAAAACAGCATCTAAAGTTATACGGTAATTCAGTATTTGACAAGACAAATACAAAATAAAAATTCTGACATCTAGCTTCACTGGATTACTACTAAACTGGTTTGATCTCTGCTTTTCATCAAAAACAAAAGTACATCTTTCATTTCACATAAAAAACCTGGAATCAAAGCAGAGGCCATCTCACAAAACTAAAGCTATGGATATCCCTACTATTTTGTATTAAATTACTTTGTACACCTGGGGAGATTTAGTAACCTGAAGCCAAATCCCCATATCTGGTGTCCTCTTTTAAAAATTGTAACCCCTCTGCTGACAACAGCAGACAATAAAGCTTACAATACCCTCAAAGACAGAATGCCTACTGTATAATATGCAGTCCACAGAAACACTAGCAGTTTGTATTGACTACAGTATAAAATGAGATTTGGGGTATGCTAAGTATAAAAATGATGAATTCCTTAAAACACTTCCCCTGAAGCTGTTATGCACCAAAGTGAGTCATTTTTAAATAGGTACTTCATTATATGAAAATGGCAAAACCATTCCTCTTTTTCTGTCTGCCTTAAAGAAAATGAAAACTACTAAAAAGTTACCTGACTGCGACTCAAGATTCTCATTAGCACCAAGCAATGGAAGGTTTTCTTCTGTGACTGAGTTGTGATAGCCCACAAGATTTTTAAAGTTTTGCATAAAGTCTTCAGCAGATGCAACTACTATTCCATTATCTGTATAACTGGAGGACATCTGGATATTTTTTTCTAAATTAAAAAGAAAATGTTTTGAATATAAAATACTAGAAAAGGTACATAGACAAATGATAATGCCTGCCCCCAGCTCTCACAAAACATTGCTACCTTTTCAGAATCATAGCTTAACAGCCAATACCCATTACAGCCCCACAAAATCCTTTTGTCCACATTCCTATATTCATAGTAGAAAACGTCACACCATTGCTTACCTGTTAAAAAGACTATGTGTCGTTGCTGTATGTTCTGAGCCTGAAGTCTGATAAGACAGTCAAATTCTGGAGCATTTCGAGTTTGCGAATCACAATTGTGGTATGACAAAATTTCAACCAGATGTTTCTTCTGATAGACATTCAGAAGTGTCAGCAGACTTAGGGCTTTAGCATTCAATCTGTAAAATTACGTAGTTCAGTATCTAGATCTACATTTCTAAAATTTATTGTGGAAGTTTTTGCTTTAAAACCATAGTTTCTAACTTGGGGCAACTAATGATAACTGCACTGCTTAGCCCACTGCCTGCTGTAGGGGTGCTTCTTAGGAGAAAGGGATAGCAGTGATTGTGCAACCCACCAGTAAGTCCAGGGGCTTTCTCTGGGTGCAAAGTTTGAGGACCAGCTATTTAGTGTAACTAAAATCTCAACCCAGTCATTTACTTTCTAAGTAACAAATTACAGTTCTCTTTGGCTTCCCCAATTTAGAACTTTAATGAAGGACATAAATAGACAAAAAATAATAAATCCTTCCCTTCAAATAATACATAGCTCTCAGCTATTTCTACATCTCCAGGCTCAAGGCAACAAGTGGTAAAAATTACTATTGTCAAGAAGACCATGGTAATAACTTTGTACAAGTTAAAACTTTAGGCCTCAGTAGTGTTATCTGTTATATAAAGATAAGATTTGAAGCTAAAACAAGTTTTTTAAAAAGTGAATTACTACTAAAAATTAAATGCTTTAAAATTATTTAAGCCTGAATTAGTGTGTGCCATAGAATGTCAATAGGTATTAGAAAAAAATCGTTTGTGGTCTAAGTTTAGGAAATGCTTAACTACAGAATTCTTAACTATAGAGTTTCTCAGATCCTTAAATGTATGAATACAATGTATGGACTCTCTAGTAGTACAATACAGTATCCCAAACTCATCTGATTACATAATTATTTGTGGAGCCTCTCAAAGTAATTGCTGCTCCAAGCTTCACACTTTGAAAAGTGACTTCAGGCATGTTAAAAATCACCTATTTACATAAATGAATGTCCTAATAACCACAAATCCCCTAATCATGTTGAGATTAATCCTTGTGTGATGCTACTAAATTAGCTACCTAAGGTAGCCATCAAATGGGAGAGAGCCTGATCTTGTTGACATACACAGTTCAGTAAAAATATAATGTTGATTATTCCATTATTATTCAAAATGCTTGAGTAGCAAAGATAAAACCAATTTTATTTATATACATAATTAGAACTTAAGCAGACTTCTACCTAAAAACACTATCACTTGCAAACAGGCTACAATAATTCAGTATCACACTCCCTTATGACTAGCTAAGGACATATGTGAAAACTGAACAGCATCCATAATCTATAAACAGAGAAATGCAGAAACTTTGTGAATACATACAAAAAAATGTTACATCAACAACCATTATAGTTATTTTTGAAATCTTACCTGCCCAGTTCCTTTAGTTTTTTCTGAAATTTACAGTGGACTTTCCATTGCCATTTTCCTTCTGGAGTACTAAGTTCTTCGAGGAATGTCAAAAAATTTTTAAGGTTCTCTGTTAAAGATAATTAACTTAACTTTAAATTCAATAAACAGCAATCGCCCAAATTTAATTATGGAAGAAGTATATGGTGATATTGTGTAGGAACACCTACATTCCTATGTACTTTTCTTTCTCTTTTTTTCCTCTAAAGGAGACATCTATATATTCTCTTTTAGGTCTAAGAACATTATATCTATACATTATAAAAAATATGTTGATAATAAACCAGAAGTGATCCGAATGCAGTAGGAGTAGAGAGCCTTGCTTTACACCAAATTTAGAGGCAATTATTTGTAAAGACTTCTAAGAATGGGAAATTTGTGGTAAAAAGCTCAAGAAAATGATAGAAATGTAGTATCTGTGATTAGCTGAACAGACAATACATTAAAAAGCATGAGTGAGTTATCACTGAGGAAAACCTAAAACAGAAGTTATATGCTCGAAAGAATGCATAAATCTTACCAACTGTGATAACTTCTGGATTTAAAATAGATTCATCAGACACAATAAAACCTCCAGACACGAATAGTTCATTGTACGTATGATTTTTAACATCATCCAGACTATCAACACCAGCAAAACTAACGCAGGGGAGCTTCTTTAAAGTCACCAAGCCAGGTACCTGTATAAATACCAAAATATAAACAGAAGTAAGGACAAAGGAATGAACTGACTCAAATGTGAAGTAATCTATATGGAAAGTCTAACAAAATACACTATGGCTAACCTATATTAGTATGTTGCCTCTGGAAAGCCAAGCACTAAATAATATTCCCAACATTATTTCCAAATATATAAACTAACACTTATGTAATGGGTACCTACCATGAACAGAGCACTAAGGAAAAGGCACAATAGAGCTGAAAACACAGAATGAAAAATACTAACTGGTCTGGCCCTGTGAGTAGTCAGAATTCAGATGATGGCAAGAACCTATGTACTGAACAGTCAGGAAAGGCTTCAAAGGGCAGTAGGATTTGAGATAGGCTTGTAAAACTCGATGATGGGGTACCTCCAAATTCAAGGAAAAGCAGGACCAATTTGGCAAAGGGGGTGCAAACAGGTTTTACCTGGGACTTTGTATAAGATGACAACATATAAAGAAGGTCAGCAGACCCACTGGCATTCAAGAAGTCAATATTCTTAGTCTTGACTATTTTTGAGTGATATGGAAAGTCTGTGATATGCCTCCATTTAAAATTTTGCAGGGGTAGAAACTTGATTCTCACCAGCTAATTCACAAAGGGTCATTTAGGTCTCAAGCCCTAAATGTCCAAACCCTGAAATTTTATCTTCTTGAAGGCTTATGAGGATATTTTAAAAAACAAACACTTCAGTCTCAAATACAGATTTTATAGTAAGGCTGTTTTTATAACCAAAATTAATAGTAAATTTGACTTAATAGTCTACCTTGTGAATGAAACCTGCAATGTCTTCATTTTGAATAATAATTAATAGTTTATCTAATTTTGATCTTCTTTCCAAAAACTGTTCTGGATGACATTCTGTATTGCCTAACTTGATAAGATATTCCTGTTGAAAAAAAGTATATCAACATTAAAAAGCATTTTTACAAAAAATTCATTTAGTACTAAAATGCAAGATAAACTGATAAACATAAGCTTAAACTAGATTTAGGGACCCCAGGATCAAATCTGCTTTTCTTCTTATTGAATCTCAAGCTCAGCGCTTAGTCACAGTCACAATGTTACAAAATGCTATGCAATCAAAGCCAAGTAAATTCCAGTGTAGGATAAAAGAAAGAAGCACAAGAACAATGGATTGGTCTCAATTCTTAACCCTGCTCCACTGCTTATTCTGGGAAACCCAGAGCTCAGCCCAATCATTAACCATTTCCTTATCCCCATTTCCTTTTCTTTCAAAGCAGGCCAGGCCCTTGGTTATTTGCAGCAATGTTACTGGTATATTCCTTTAGAATTACAACCCAGTTTCCCAAATACTGTAGTTCATTTAATTCACAACAGCCTCCAAATCATTCATAAGGAGCTTCAATATATACAATGGTATTCACAGACTATAATTAGCCACATTTGTCAAGTTACACCTTCAAGCAAAATACTCTTCCATCTAATACCTTCCTCCATGCTGATGACATGGTACTCTTTCAAATGACACAAGGTTGTATAGTCCAAGCAGAGTTTTCTTTGCTTGCTGGTGGAATACTGAACTCTGAAGCAAACTATAGGATCCTGGAGGTTACATTCCTCATTTCACAGACACAGATGCAGATTAATTTTCTCAAGGGTGGCACAGCTGGTTAGATAAGCGTAAAATCTAAACCCAACTTGCCTCACAGTCTACTGATCTGTCAAGAGCTGTCTGTGTCACACCCCAAGAGGATGTTTCTGTGTACCCCCAAACTAAAGCAGCATACACTGCGCTGTTTGATTCTGACCTAACCTGTAAAGCTTGTGGGAAGACCTAAGAGTAGCTTACAAGCTTACAGTCAGGTAATGAATAGATAATTTACTGTCTGTCAGGCTTGCTTGTAATTTTTGTTTTTTTTACATTAAGAAGCTTTAAATCAGAGTTCATTTTAGATCAGTTTAACTCATTCAATAACAGATCAGCTTGACTCCAGAAATACTTGAGAAGTTTAAAATTATATTCATAAAGTTTTTATTCTTTGTAACATTTTTTCTGGAAACTTTCCAATGAATATTGATTAAAAGAATTAAAGTTCCAATCTGACTTCCTATCAGATTTGTAAACACAACGCCTTCTTCCCCTAAACAACAGAAATATAATTTATTCCATGTCAAAATGAATTAAAAGTACCATTCATAAGTAAATGTATTTCTTGTTACAATCAGTTTTAAAATGTGGTGGAAGGAGGAGGAATAATGCTGAGCACACTGGGACTTGTGCCCATCCTATTTTCTCATCTAGCCCCACAACAACATGCAGCTATGCCCCAAAGAGTGCAATGCTTGAGCACTAGTTGGGGGTGGAAAAAAATATAGAAATCTACATTCAATCATACAAGGCAAAATGTAACCAAGGAATTCCTAGTAAGTCTGGTTTCACTCTTCCTGAGAAACCACAAGGGATTAAAAGACAGACTGAGCACTATGCCTCCTTCATTTCCATGCTTTTCTGTTCTCATGGGTACACCACATGAAACATGCTGACATCAATGTGAAATCCCCAAATTGACAAAGGCTCAGGACATATCAGTAACATGGTGTTTCTAGGCCACTCTGGGATAATAAGCCAACTTTTTATAGTTTCTTATGCTTCCACTTAAAAAACAATCAGAACCTCATCATGGTAAGTAAATTCCAGAAGTGGGATTGGGCATTTATTTTAAAATCTAAGGTATTCCCTTAAGAAATAAAATCCAGTAGCTCAGTGAATACTAATTGGTTAATATTAAAACCATATAACAGTTTGGATATAGTATTATAATTTATATACCTATTATTACAAATGTTATAGGCATCTAACCCTGTATACACAAATGTTATAGATATCTAACACTATATACATGCATTTTTTACAACTAGAAAACACTCATCTACTCTGTAGCTTCAGTAGAAAAAATTATATACCTTGCAGTGGAAAATCTTTCAGGATTGGGGAGTCTTTCAGGATCATAGTATTTTTTGATCAATACAAGGGAGCACCCCAAACAAAACAATTTATTTATTTAAAAAATGTGTATTTACTCTTAAAAACAAATCCTTACATGTTTAAACTTCAGTCACCTTCGAAGTATTCTCCATCTGATGCAATACACCTATCAAGATGTTTTTTCTACCATTCAAAACAAGTCCCTGAAATTGTCAACCTTGATGCTTTTGAGTTCTGCCATTTTTTGTTTCACCTCTTCCACATCAGCAAAACATTTCCCTTCAATGACTGTTTTCATCCAGGGAAACAAAGAAAAGTCACTCAGGGTGACAGCAGGTGAATAGGGAGGGTGGAGCATAGGGATCATGCCAGTTTTCTTTGGTCAAAAAATTGCCGAACACACAGCGTGGTGTGGGCAGGTGTGCTTGTAAATCATCCATCATGAAATGGGCAAAAGCATTAAGAGTCTTCAAAAATAATTCACTAAAGCACAACACAGCCTCTTACAACACCACCACCTGGTACACTGATACAGATGGATTCCTCAAACACTCACCTAGCTTGGGAAGCCTGTACTACAAGGGGCTTGCCCTCCAGAAAATAATTCGAGTTTTGGGGTGAACCTGATATGAGAAGGTATCAAGAAAAACCGAAATATATTATCATTAGGTTATCCCTGGACAGTTTCATTTTTCTAGTTGACTGATAAACCCCGTGAGGTAAACACTGACAACTTCCTTCACCCCTCTGTATCTTTCCCTTCCCTTCATTAAAAACCCAAATACGAAACATTTAAAATCTCTGAATCAACAGTTTAAAGGTATTTGCAGTATGTAGCAATGATCTTTAAAATAACTCTATAAAACAAGATTCTAAATTCTAAGCTACTTACATCATAGTTTTTATTTAATTGAACTTAGCCTTTTATTCTACTCTGCATTAAATTATGAAACTATTTTAAATATTCCTTTTTATAGAGGTCAGACTCAATATGACTTTATACAGCATGACTAATACAGCATGACTATTACCTTTTCATTTAGTTACCTTTATTTCTTTACAGAGCACGCTCTCTTCTTCTTCATGAATATAAAATTTCACAGTATTTTTCTGGACATCTTTCATGATTTTAACTAAACTGTTAAATACTTCAGGTTCTAACTTGCTTATAAAATTTGAAAGAGCTGGTTGGGCAGAAATGTTTACATCACTGGGTGATTTTGCTGCTTCTTTTTCTTCTGGTTCCTGGGCAGTATGATCAGGTACAGTATGATCAGAAGTCACCATTATCTCCATGGCATGGTGTGGCTGGATCACTTCTACTTCAGTTAAACCCAAAGTTGAAGAATGCTGACCATTAGAGTTGATGTCTTTCAAAGTATCACCACAAAGTGGTTCAAGGAGGTGTTTATTGTTAAAGTCACTTGAGGAAACTGGTATGACATGTCTTCCTAGAGGATTCAATGCTATCTTAGTACCAGAACCATTAAGACCAACTGGTGGCAAATTCCCACCCTTTGTTGATGCTTTGATAATGATAGTACTTAGTTTCTCATGCAAGCCATCTACAAACTCCTGTACACTAGCTTTAGGAGTCTTAGAATATATGAACTCAGAAAGTCGTTTCATTTTCTTTTGTGTTGAAAAGATAGGTGTAGAAATTCTACTGACATATGAAACATTCTTTTGCTTCAAAATCTCTTCTATCTTCCTAGAAAAGAGATTGTATTCTCCTAACACTGTCCTCTCTGTGGTTTCACTCACTGCAGGCGGCTCTGCTGCTGGCACACACTGCTCCTCCACCTTCACCACCTGACCTGTCAACACGCCATCCTCAGTGGTGCCCTTTAGTGTGTCTGTAAATGGAGAGGATGGAAACTGGTAATCAGAAGTTCTCTGTCTACTTATTACCCGGGGGTCGTTAGGAAAGGCCTCGTGCGGTGGCAGATACACCAGTTGTTCTTCTGGTGATTTCATACCTATATAGGAAGAGTGTATTATTATAAGAGTAATTAAAAGCATAAAATTTGAAAAAATAAACTTATAAGTGAGAAAAAATGTCAGGTCAAGTCTATATTTACAACTAATCATGCTATGTAGAATAAAAATCTCAAATAATGGTCTGAACAGGGCCAATTTGGATCAATACAAACTAAGTACTTTGCTTATTTCTGCTCCCCTGCCCTCCTCTGTCTGACTTCAATAGACATGTTTTAATCAAAATGGTCAGCTGCAACAGCTTACTCAACCCCTATGTGCTTTGCCAAGTAATGTCTACTACAGTGATATAGTTTTAACGTGAAAATTTACGTGTAAGGCAATCAAAACAATTCCAAACTGAAATGATGTGGGAATAACTGCCAAGAGTTGCATTCACAATGTAAGGATAATTTTATCTGTTTTTGGTTTTATGAGGTTGCTTAGTGGATTTCCTACAAATGTTAGGGATTTCAATTTATCAAGGAAAAACTCAGTAATATAGGAAAAAAACATATTTCAAAGATGCAATAAGTAACAGTTTTAATAGGGCTTTCCTAGGTAGTTTTATTTTGTTTCAAAATAATTCCAAGAGAAAGCATAATAGCTAAGAACCCATTTGAGATAAAGAGGCCATTCAGCTAGCTGATGCTAACAGAACTATTTAACTTTTGACTACTGACAACTAACTCAACCCATAAGATCATATTCCCTCTCTGCCCACAAATCCTGTATTTAAATAATATATTTTTGAAATTATATTTCAAAACAGGTACCCTAAACCCTTTTTTATAAGACAAAGAGGAAATGTGTTTTAACAACCATTTAATATTAGGAAAAGAAAAAAATTGTGATTTTTGCCTAGAGATTGATATATTATACAATTTTATCCTTTAAAAAAGCTACTAATTTTAACAAACTGCTATTCTAGTATATGAAATGATACCTCTAAGTCAGAAAGTCCAGGTATTAGTTTTCAAAACTACAGTACTTTAAAGATGTAGTGAATTCCCTATTCACCCAGGTGTAACAGAATGCCCTCTTCACACAAAATTCAGTTTTGATTTTCCCCACATTCACACATTTCTAAAGGTTTAAACAGCCTCAGCAGCAGTCAGCTTGTAACATTTCTCTACCAACCCCAGTGGTTACCATGAACTATTGTAACAATTAACTACTGCAAAGGCACCAGTCAGAAGGTTTAGAAGACCACAGCAGGTCTGTAGGTGGAAGAAGGGGAGCAAAATAGCCAATACCATGGTAAGAATTACAACAGTATGAACTGATAGAAAATCAAGTTCTATAAAATAACTCAGGAATACTGAATATCCTTCTTAAATTTTTTTAAATTTTTTTTCAATATATTTTATTGATTATGCTATTACAGTTGTCCCATTTCCCCCTTCACTCCCCTCCACCCTGTACACCCTCTCCCACCTATAATATATCCCCCCCTTTAGTCATGTCCATGTGTCATACTTATACGTTCTTTAGCTTCTACATTTCCCATACTATTCTTTCCCTCCCCCTATCTATTTTCAACCTACAATCTATGCTACTTATTCTCTGTACCTTTTCCCCCCCTCTCCTCCTCCCACTCCCCTGTTGCTAACCCTCTATGTGATCTCCATTTCTGTGGTTCTGTTCCTGTTCTAGTTGTTTGCTTAGTTTCTTTTGGTTTTGCTTTAGGTGTGGTTGTTAATAATTGTGAGTTTGCTGTCCTTTTACTATGTATGGTTTAAATTTCAATATAAAGTTTAGCATATATAAAATATTTGGGCTAACAGAAGACTTACTTTTTGAAGTATTTTTGTACTTCTTGAATTATGTACCATGTCAAATGTCTGATTTAAGTTAAAAAAATTTATTTTATCTCATAAAACAAATGGGTTGAGGAGAGGACCACCTGTAATTTAAAAACTTCTTGCTCCCAAATACTTGCTCCCAGAATTTACAGCTATACTTGATACCAATAAAGTTATTTCTGAAGAGCTACGGATAAAGGGAATTTTAAAATATGAAATATAACTTAAATCCACCTGGGGAATTCCTTATACTAAAAAACCCAAACTAAATCCATTTTAGAAATGCAAATGATCACCTAATTTTATTTTGCACAAATTTCTTACACATTTTAATACTGACTTTATTTTAAAAATGTTTTCACCAATAAATGATTTAAAGGAACACATGCCAATATCCATAATAATGCATGTTTTCTACTGTCATTCAAGGACTGCAGTACTTTGACTTTTAAGTGAAAAGGTAGCAGTGAGTTCGCTCAAGGCAGCATCATTCAGATATTTATACTTTCAGTCACAAAATATCCAGATGGTATGTCAATGCTGAGGGAGCATTTTGAAGCGTAAATAAGATACCTGCTCCTCCCAATGAGAAAGAATTACTGATTTCTCCTACTGAGAATTTGCTGACACAAAACACAGGTGAATCCCAGACATAACATGAAGATCCAAATACAAAAGGACATGTTAGGTTCCATTTATCTTAAATTCCAGGACAGGTAAAACTACTGTATCGTGAAAGAAGAAGTCAGATTTAGTGGTTACTATGAGGAGCAGAGAGAGCACCAACTAGGAAAATGCAGAAGAAAATCTTGCATGCTAGAAGTGTTCTACATGTTGATCTGGGTGATGTCACATAACTGCAAACATGTGGAAATTCATTGAGCTATATACTAAAATTTGTGCACTTTTCCCTGTCATATATTTGTTGTCAAGTTTTCCTAGGAGACATAATAGCTTTCTTCGAGAAAATCTTTTAAGTCTTTTGAATTAAAAAAAAAAAAAAAAGAAATAACCATAAAGATCTACTAAAATTCAAAGGCCATTTAGCTTTCCTTCCAAACTAAAAAAAAAATAACACCACTTAAGATTTCTGAAAGAGTCAAATCAACAAAATGGAAACAAATAAAAAAGACCCACCACCAAACTAAGCGAGCAAAAAATGGCTATGATCATGCAGGAATATTGAATTGACTGAGCTCAGACAAAAGACTCTTTTAGGCACACACTGCAAGTAGCTAATCATTACTATCTGTAATGTTTCTGGAATTCAAAAGTTTCCTAATCTTTGTTAGAAGAAGAATTGGGTAAAAATATTCAAGATTAGGAATAATGTACCTAAAAGATAAATGGCCTCACCTCCAAGTGTTTACGAGAAAATTGTTTTTAAAGATAAATTGGACTTTATTAAAATCTTCAGCTACTTTGAAGAACATTGTTAAGAAAATGAAAAGACAAGTTACAGACTGGGAGAAAATATTCACAATACATATTTCACAAAGACTTGTATCCAGACTATAAAGATTTTTCACCAATCAATAAATCCAATTAGAAAATAAACAAAATACTTAAACAGATGCTTAACCGAAGAAGAGATGCCATTAGCATAAATTTAAGAGAAATTTGAAGACTGCTTCTCTCAGAATATCCTACAGAAATGGATTAAGAAAAACACTCTGGTCTTCCCAAGTCATCATCAGATATACGGTGAAGAAAATGTGATCTCTACCAATATCTAGTGGCTTCTTTGAACACATTCTTAATATAAGAATTTTGATACAAATCAATTAATAATATAATACAAATATGATATTATCCAAACCTTCTGTAATTCACAAAACTTAAACTGACACCCTACTGATGAAAGGCTAGAAACACCAAGTAGCAATTCTGAATAAGGGCACAGTGGGAAGAAAAGCAAAGTGAGCCTTCTCACCTGGTGTTTGTTTCTCACCATGTTTCCTTAGCTGGTCTTCTGGGCTTCTTGCATTCCCTCCTGACAGAAAGCACCCGTTAGATTTACAGAGACTCTTCAGGTATTGGTGATACACATTTAGCACCTTTGAGACAACGCAAAATGCTAACAAACCCAAGAATTCCTTCTTTTGCCTAAAATAATCCTGAGGGATCATTCAGATATGGGAAGTTGCTTCCCTTTTTTATTCAGTTGATGACAGAATATCAAACACCGAGATACTGTGCCTTCAAATGGTTCTGAACATCAACTATAAATGTGTCCAAATGAGGAATGGTTAGGATAATCATTATAAACCAATTACTTCCTTATTCATTTTCTCCCACTCAAAGTGACACCTCCAGCTCCTAAGTGATAACCAGCTGCCTCTCTACCATCACATTTACACCTCTTGCCCTCTCTAGTAAGGTACTACATAGAGAATGGTGCTGAATGAAGTCCACGGAGATTCATCAAAGTTTTAGCAAATCTTCTCAGAGTCCTTGGTGGTTTCAGTAGCTTCTAGGTCTCAAGTCAGTCTATTATTATTATTTTTTTTTAGGAAAAATCTGTTTTTCTTTTCTTTTTAAAGGTTAAATAAAGGTCTAGGAATGGAAAAGATGTGCCCTGGAAATATTTCCAAAATGCTTAGCTAAAAAGATGAATAAGAACTTAGAATATTAAGAGTATGTAAATGTACAGGTGTATGTTTTTATGTGTCTGCACAAAGAAATCAGAATACTTCAAAATGATCTTTCAACATCTGCTATCTATTCTTATCCCATGGTTCAATAAGCTTTCTAGGATATTTGCATTTGACCATTTCAGGACATCCTCCACAATGATCTAATTTCTCTATCCAACATTAAGAAATCATATTTCTTTCAAATAGATGAACCTCAAAATGACCACTTCTTAGAAAACAGCTATAGAGAAGCTTATAATTGAAGTACATAGCATTGTCTATCCAAGATCATCATTTCATCTCTGTAACTATCTCACCTCATTAAAAACTATTTCTGCCAGCAATTTTCATTTGGAAGTCTGCATGCTAAACTCCATATGGTGAATAAGTATGTTTTAAATCCCTACTTTTAATAGGGTTTTTTGCAGATATTTGCTGATGCTGACCAAGAACAGCAACACTCTATGATGAACATTACATTGCTCAAAATAAGACACTGAACATGTCAGAGCCAAGTTAAGATGAAGCCCCTATAGTGACCCAAGAGCGAAATTTAGAAAAGTTGAAACCCTTCAGGAAACTGTTCCCTAAGTAAAACCAAGCAAACCTAATTCCCAGTACAGTACACTTGTTCTTACCTGTAATTGGAATCAATTTCCAATGTATTTCAGTCTCTTCAACATCATTTGACTTAGATTGTTTATGGAATCCATGTTCAATGGGAATAGTGGGACACAAACTGCAATCTTCAAAATTATTCATGCTAATTAAATTTGGATCCTAAAAATTAGAAGACATATTCAATAGCTTTCTTTTCAATTTTAATGTCAAAAATAACTTTTTTTCACAGCAAAAACATAGAAAATTTGTCAAATCAACATGGTAAAGTGATAATACTCTAGCTTCAAATTATAACATGCTATTTTCCTTCAAAACATAATTTGATGTTGATTTTAGAGCAGAGGTTGGTAAACTTTTCTGGTAAAGCTCCAAGTATTTTAGGCTTTGCAGGCCATATACTCAGATACTCAACTCTGCCACTGTAGTGCAAAAGCAGCCATAGGCAATACAAATGGGCATGGCTGTGTTCCAAAAAAAACTTTAGTTACAAACATAGGCAGGGGGCTGGGTTTGGCCTATGCCCCCATCAACTCAATTTAGAGTACTAAATATGTTAGGAAATGTTAACAATATAGGTTAGTTTCCTCAGTGCCTACTTTACACACCTCTCTAAATGAGCCTCATGACATCATCCTCCCCCTAAAATATCTGAAAACTATCTGGACAAAGCCTAGAGACATGCATATATGACTTTTATTCCAAGGCAGGGAGGAGAAAATAAATGAGAGAGTAAATTAGAAATAAGGTTTAGGAATATGGTGCCCTCCTGGTATTGTTTCTCAATTATGCAGCCACTTCTTGGGGGAAGATAAGGCTGCTTCTAAGATAGACATCAGTACTCTAAACACATGAACTGGATGCTCTGTCAAGCAAGACTGAGTGTCACTTCAGTGGTAATCCTAAAGGCCACTCATTTTCCATTCCTATTTGAAAAATACAAAGTACCTAGCCTTGTTTGTAAAACTAGTGCACTGACTTTAGTGACTTTATCTGCTTCACCTATAGGTTATGGTACTTCTAACAGAAAGCCAATGGTTTAAGAATTCAACTTTATTATGAAATGCTGTGGAATTAACTCCCAATAAGCCACTTCTGAAAAACAGACTGTAGCCTTAACTTTATCACAACAGGTAAAACTTACACTATACATAAACCTATAAACAAAAAGGAAAACAACTACTCTGTACTTATCTCTTTGTAAAAAGGAGTAACTTAGAAATACTGTCCTGGACATTTTTATTGAAATGTATATTTTATTTCTTTTTAAAAAGGAGAAAAGTCACTGAAGCACATTTTTCTCTTTCACACACATTCACAAAAGCAAACAATATAATCAAAAGATATAGGCTTACTTCTTTCAAATGTAATTTATGATCAGTGCCTACTTCACTGGTAGAAACAGCAACATGATACTTTATAGATGACTTATCAACTTCTGGCAGTGGGCTCTGAGTACCCTTAAAATGTGCATTTTCAATTTTTTTGCAAGTAGGTTGCTCATATTCTTTCTTATCTGGGTTAGAACTTAAGTCATATTCATCATGCTTTTGCCTCAGCTCTTCATAGGCACCATCGGTGCTCAATCCTAAGGCTTTGTTGACTGTGTCTGTGAGGGATGCATCAGAATGGCGTGCATTTGCTAGTGTTTCTGATAGCCAATTAAACAGCCTATGGATGTCAGAAACGCCCGAGTTAGAGGTATCCTGCTGCTGCTGTCTCAAGTCAGCATCATGCCCAAGTGAGCCAACAGGCTGTGAAGACTCTGAAGGGAAAAGAGAAAGAAAAGTCATCTCTTAAAGTAGAGTTTGGAAGGCTAGTATAATAATTTAAAACTCAAACATAACTAAAAATTAATTATCTTGACCTGGCCAGGGTGGCTCAGTTGGTTAGAGCATCATACCACAAACCATGGAGTAGAGGGTTCGACTTTCGGTCAGAGCACATGCCTAAGTTGCAGGTTCGGTCTCCAGTCAGGGTGGGTATGAGAGGCAACCAATTGATGTTTCTCTATCACATCAATGTTTCTGTCCCTCTCTCTCCCTCCCATCCCCTCTCTCTAAAATAAATGAGCATGTCCCCAGTGGGGATTAATACAAAATAATAATAAAAAGTAAAAATTATTTATTATAACACATCTGTGGGCAGGAACTCAATCAAAACACCAGCTTAGGTTTTACATGTATATCCATCCATTACTTTACAAATGTAACTGGTTCTAAACTTTTGCACATAAGTCAACATCCCCATTAAATGAAAACTTATTTATATAATTTTAAAACTATTAATAGAGATGAGCTCAAACATCAAGTTGGTAACATGGATATTAATAACCATACTATAGTTACCTTGAAATCTACCACCAAAATTCTGAAGTCAACCAAATGCTTGACAACAGATAAAATATCTGTTGCTATTTTGCAAGATATGCAGATTACACTAAAATCTATTATAGAGAACTCATGACTTAAAGAGTTCTATCGCCTTTATAGCTATTACATTTTGTCTTTAAGATACTGTCTGACATTCTTTTCGTCTAAGCCTTATCTCAACTGACTAGATTGTCAGGATTTACAAGGTAGGGTATAGGTAGGGTATAATGTACCACAGTAAAAATAAAACAAAACATCAAAGAAAAGCATACTGTATAATTCTAATCACACATACTTATGCAGCAAGCAAAACTAATCAAGAGAGACAGAAAACAGATCAGTAGTGGGGTAAGACTAAGCTACAAAGGAATACAAGGCAACTTTTGGGCGTAATAAAAATGTTCTATATATTGGAGTGGTGGTAATATAGCTATCAAAACTCATCGAACTGTGCAATGGGTACATTGTATATAAATCATATCTCAAAAAAAAGTAGATGTTAAAGGGGATAGGGAAAATAGGATATCTCATAAAATGATTGGGTTCATCACCAAATCATGATCAAGGTATTTTAGAAGTTAGAGTATAACCTTTAAATCTCTACTTTTAGAAATCAGAAATAAACTGTGCAAAATACTACAAAGAAACAAGTGAGAAACATCTAGAAATGCAACTGTGATTGTAGTAGACTGTTCTGTGTGGCGTGGGCCCAGCTCCCACTGGGAGATGCATAGGACCCAGGACCCATGCCCACGGATAGTTTCTCCTGTAGGGAATCAGGCCTGCAATGTACCTAAGCCACTATGAGTCTTGCTTTTTGCTAAAACTCACCCTGAATTGAGGACATTTACTATAAAGCAACTTCCTAAAATCCATGCTAAACCTTCCAAGGATGAGTGTAACTGGTTCAACTACTCTTGCCTTTTCATTTGCAAATATTCCTCTTCTGTGATGTGATTAGCAGCACTGGCTCCTTTGTTTTCTGTATAAGGTAACCACCTCAAGGGAGCCTGTGCATAGTTAATGAGGACCTTCTTGTAATGTGCCCAGTTAAAACAATAAAAGCTCATTGAAGCAAGGGTTGAGGCTTTTATTCCCCTTGAGAGAAAAGCCATGCAGTCCCTGTTCCTCCACCAGATTCAGTAATCTGCGTGAATGTCTTATTTCATCCATAATGATGCAGACCCCAGAAGCCGGGGTCCGAACCACTGATGATCACTAATTCTAGTTTAATGCATCGACAAGACCCCTCTCCCTGATCCATTTCTCCTTTAGTCTATTACAGTAATTAGCATGGCTTCCCCACCATTTTAATTATTGACAAAGCCTGAATTTTCACCCATAAATATTTTTTCGTATGTATAAAATCAGTCTATTATTAGCTAAAACAGCATCAGAATTTAATTACCTTGCCTATTATGTGCTCAGTGGTAGGAAATACAGTCAGATTTAGGAACAATGCTTTGTAGAGTCAGTCAGAACTGAGTTCAATCATGGATTAGTGAACTACATAACTTTATATAAAGTTATTTAACTTAGATGATTTTCTGATCTGTTTAGCATTCAAGAACTAAATGAGTCCATATATGAAAAGCACCTAGCACATAGTAAGTACTTAATTCTCAAGACACACATGAACAGTGTAAGATAGTACAGATCAGAGTCAATAGGTTCAGCACACAGCAGAAATCCAGCATAATAAAGGAGATAAAAACCATCAAGGAGAACAACAACCAGAAATATATTCTAGGGGGATGTAACTGCAAAGATACGAGACTTCAGAGAAATTAAAGATGCTTCAATAAATAGAAAGAGAAGGACTAATCACAACATATTCTGAGAAACATGAACTTTAACTGAGGAGCATGTGAAGGAAGATTGGGAAACAGCTATTCAGGTTCAATGTGGCCAGTCTATAACAAAGCCTTTGAATACAGAAGCTGAGATTTGTAGAAAATTAGCAAAGCAACATTGAGAAGAACATGTACTGAAGTGAGTGACAGAAGCCAGGAAGGCCATCCATCCAGGTGATAAGAACACAGGCAAAGATGAAAACATTGAAAAGAAAAAGACAAGATCCTGGTGCCGAAAACAGCACTGTCAAATAAAACTTTCTGCAATGATGCAAATGTTCTCTATTTGTGCTGTTCAATACAGTGGTGTACCTACTATAACACAGGAAATGAATTTTTATTTCATTTTAATTAATTTAAACTTCCTGCACTATCCAATATGGCAGCCACTAGCCACATTATTTAAGATCTACCTAATTAATAAGAACAGCAGCAGCATCACAAAATGTAGATCATGACATCAAAGTTCCCTGAATGTAAAGAAGCATATTCCATTACTATGGACTAGCAGTTTAAGATAATAAAAATCTACATAAAAAATATTTTAAATTACTTGTAATATTGAAACACAGACTTAAAAGAAAGGCCTCCTGTTTCATTTGTCAACTAGAACAAAAAAAGCAATGAAAACTAGAAAAAAAGAAAAAGGAAAACATACTGCTGGATTCCTAGGGTGGAAAAGAGTATGTGTATGCTTCTAAGAAATTTGATTTTAAAAGCTCAGATTTCTTTCATTAAGCAACTTCCCACTCCCAACCACAATATTCTATGTTGTACTTTTCCAATTATAAAATTGAAGGAATACAAAAGGATAATCCAATTAGTAGGATAAAAGCTGAGCATACTTTTTTTGTTTTTTAAGCTACACAATTCAGAACTCTGATGTGCTAGGGCAGAAGTTGGCAAATATCTTCTGTGAAGGACCAGACAGTAAATATTTTAGGCTCTGTGGGCCACAGAGTCTCTGTGCCAACTCTGCCATTATAGAGTGAAAGCAGCTACATGTACACATAAATGAACAGATATGGCCGTATTTCAGTACAACTTTCTCTACAAAAATAAAACAGGGTGGACTGGCTTTTCAGGTTGTAATTTGCAGACCTCCATATTAGAAGAAAGGACAGAACTACTTTACTATATTTTTGGTTATTGTTTTTGTACTATATAAGAGCAATCTGATATTTTTACCTTCATAAAGATGGCAATTTTCAGATAAATTACTGGTTTTGGCGAGCTTTCTCATATTTTCAGGTAGATCCTCAAGCTTCCTCTTCAAGACAGTTTTGCTTCTCATATCTTCTGTGTCTGAGTCCCCACCCACATTTTTTTTCCTACACTGAATCAAATCAATCAATTCTTTGACTCTATCCTTATCATAATCCAAAGAGTGAGATGACTTCTGCTTTCCAGGTTTAATAGTCTCACCCCTTGAGTTACTTCGTTTTCCAAATTTCTTTTTTGTGCCATTCATTTCTTCATGGCCTTCATAATCTGAAAGTTGACTGAACTGTTGAAGTTTTCTATTATCATCAAACAACTCTTTTAACTTACAAATAGGTAACTGATACATTTCAGGCCGAAAAATATAGGTATGCAAACAATCATCAATATGGGATTTATTTTTTGGAGCTGGGTATAAGAATTTTTTATCATCTAATCGTGAATCATATGGAAACATAATGAACTCTCGTTTACCTGAACCAAAACCTCGCTTAAAAAATTCAGTTACATACTTTTCAACACCAGAATGAAAATTTATAGTATTTATAGTTTTGAATTCCTTTCGACACCGAATCAAAGCAAACTGTAAAAACTGAGTTATTTTTAATACATCTGGCATGCTCTCATGTCTCTCCTGTGGTGCTACATTGGTTGAACCTTTTTGTGCTGTAAACAAGCAAAAAAGGAAGCCATGTTAGTAATCAAGAAACTAATCAAATATGGATCTACATATTGTCAAATAAATGTAACATTCATGCATTAATGGTGAACCAAACTAATTTGTACCTAATACATATATGTAACATAGAAATATATGAATCACATGTTTTTAAGTACTGCGAACTAAAACGAGCCAATGAGAAACTAAAACAAAAGAAATTATAGAATATACTTTTAAATGGAAAAACACCCACTCATTAAAGATCTCATCTCCTATTGTTGCTAGACCTTTCAACCCATGGCAAGTAAAATATAAGGAGAATTAAAGAAGCAGGGCAAGATCTGAGGCTCCTAGCAAGACAATCCTACAAAGGATAGCAATGGCATTCTTTCCTGTTATAACTTCACTTCACATGAAATTTCTATCTCCATAAGGAGACACGTAGGCAAAAATGCTACAATTGAGAATCTCATTCTTAATCTAACAGTGAAACCCTTTAGTAGGAACTTTACCTTAATACAGCATTAAAGTTAGTTCTTAGAAATGATGAGAAGCAAATTTTCTCTAACATCAGTATAATGTTAAGAGAAATTCTGAATGGCCTAATATTTAACCCAGTATGTGATGCTTTTATAGTTGCTAAAATCTGAATACAAAAATGAACTAAGCTAAAAAATAATCACACCATATTTTATAAAACCCTTAGAAAACATAAGCTACTGTATTATAACAATTACAATGGACATTTATTTAGTAAAACAAATTTTTCATAGTAAGAAAAAGAAATCAAGTTATATAATTTATGTTCTATATCGCTAATAGCTCTTATCACCACCTATATCTCCCAAAACATGATGGGATCCTAGTAAGACAAAATACTTAGGGAATTATCTGTAAATTTTCAATGTAGGTATCTATTAAGACTGGATTTAGATAGTCAAAGAACTTACAAGTAACTATGCCTCTAGGTTCTTGAAATAGAAACAAAGCATGCAGAACTCGAGACTTGGTAGTCTGATGTTCTATAAAAAACAGAAGCCAAATTCATTAGCAATGTGTTTCAATTAAAATGTTAAAAAAATTTTTTTTTAATTAAAGAGATTACCTACCATATGGAGAAACCATTTGATAAGGAGAGAGAAGAAAAAGGTATCCTCGGTCTCCCAAAGGTTTAACAAGAACCTGCATTTGGGAAAGAAGTTTAATCTGTTTTATTATTAATAACCATAGGGCAGACACAGCAGTTTCTGCTAATTATAACAATCAGTTCCTGATCATCTTTAGGAAAAATATTGCTACTTAATTGTTAAAAAACCTCTTTTCCAACTATGCTGATTAACAGAATTTTAATCGAATAAAAAATTCCTTAGTTTTCATAACTTAAGTAAGAAAATTCCCCTTATTTAATGTGTAACCAACTTGTTGGTTTTTCCTTGAAGCTAAAATATAAGGACCAAACTTCAAATAATTTCCTCAGCAATTCAAAAGATAAGTTAATTGCAAAGGCAGTGTGCTGGACATTAGAAATATGACACAAGTATGACACAAATGCTGCCTTTAAGAATTCAGGCTAATCTCAAATGAAATGTGTTGCTGTAATCTAATTCTTCACATATTTAATTAACATCTTTCACACCTAAGGTCATTTGCCTTGCCAGATTTCAAAGATAATTTCAAAGATATGCAACACAAGATACTTGACTGCAAATAGTTTATAATTGGGTGGACAGAGTAACACAGGAGAAATATCAATAATTAGATTAAGACAGATAAATTCTCAAAAAGATTTACAAAGCAACATGAAGGGGAAAAAATACAGCTGGTTTATGATCAGAAAAGATACTGAAAGAATGTAGAAGGTCAATTTTGAAGGATGGGTACTGTGCCAAGATCCTGAGCTTGTGAGAAGGACGTTTCAATAGAGGCGACATTATGAACAAAGGCAGAGTTATAATATGATAGACAGTTTGCATGTATCAGAGTACTTATGACTGGCAAAAGGGTGAGGACTAGAACAACTGCATAAAACAAGTCCACAAAAAAAGATCCTGGGCTAAATTATTAAAAGGCAAGAATGGCAGGTTAGCCAGGAATATGCTGGAAAGTATATACCCTTTTGAACTAGAATGTTTCCTTAAAAACAAAACAAAACAAAAATCTTGACAGCACTATGAGGAGGGGAAAAGAAAGAAATCAATGTAAAAAGAACTCAAACTCAGTTCAGGGACTGCTACTATAATACTTCATAGCATTTCTTTTGACTAATGCAAGGGTAAATAAAGGAAGAGCTGAGCATGACAGTGGAACACAAGAGGTTACCTGGTTTGTCAAAGAAAACCTACGCTACTAATTCCTATCAAGTAATTCCAATAAACAAAGATTGTGCAAGAACCCATAGTATAAAGGCCAATAAGTGACTGAGCTACCAATTTACATTTAATAAAAACACTGAACACTAAAAATGTGGATAATGTGTCTGGCAATTTTTGTTTCAGACTCAAACACTTTAAAATGTTTTGTATCCCCTTTAACATTTTGCCCAACTCCTGGTTGTCAAAATAAGAAGCTGAAAACCACAAATAAGATTTTCATCTTTTGTGGTCACTGAGGGAAAACAATTAGATTCTTTTAACTTTCAACCCACTCCAAATATCAGGTTTTTAAAATTCCACTGGCTAAGTGGCCTTATAAAGACCACTGTCCTTGAAACAGCCTCAAATCCAAGGGGATCAACACCCAGAAACCCTCAGGCAGAGAGAGGCCTTAGGGTAACAGTTGTGGCCTCTAGCTCGAAGAAACTTTTAGCCCTCTAGAAAAGGAAACAAACACCTGTGGACTCTGTGTTCCTGCTGCCTCTATTTATTATACCTTACTGTTTCCTTCCTCTTTAGAAAATAGTGCTAACCCAGTCTGTGGGTTTTTATTACTTGATGCTATTACTTTGACTTTTCAATAAAATTACAGGTAATTAATGTGGTACAAAAATGCATTAGAAATATAAAACGTTAAGCTCACAATCGTAAGTGACCAAGCTTAGGAAGAATAAGCTATCTAAGTGAGATTCAGTAGAACAACAGATTCAAACACTCAAGGGTTTCAAATTAGAGATAATTATCAGATGCAATATATAAAACAACAGGTAGGAAATGTTTAAATAAACTAAATAACCGACATAATTGAAAACATATTCACACAAAAATTGGTATACAAATATTTAGAGCAGCAATGTTCATAACAGTCAAAGCATGAAAACAAGTGATGAATGGAAAAAATGTGGCATTATCCATACTATAAAATATGACTCGGCCATAAAAAGGAATTAAGAGACATACTATATAACATGGATGACCCTCAAAAGTATTATGTTAAGTGAAAGCAGTCAGGCACTACAGGCCACACAATGCATGATTCCACTTATATAAGACACCCAGAATAGACAAATCCATAAAGACAGAAGTATATTAATTGTCAGGGACTGGAGGGAGAAAAGAATGTAGAGTAAATGCTTAATGGGTACAAGCTCTCTTTCTGGGGTAATGAAAATACTCTGGAATTGGATAGGGGTGATGGTTGCACAGCACTGTGAATCTACTAAAAATCACTGAATTGTATACTTTAAAATGGTGAATCTTATTTCAATAAAGACAATAGCAAAAAATATCAGAATATAACCTCCACCTCCTAGAATAGTGCCTGGCACAAAATAGATAGTAAATATTTCTGAAAAGAACTAACAAGAATCTGTTAAATGATGAAGCAGATCTCAAATATAACTTTTAGAAATCAAAAATATGCTGTGAAATTAGAAACTCTATGAATGGATTAAACAGCAAATTACACATAGCTAGACAGAATTTACAAACTCAAAAATAGCTATGACAAAATTAATCAGAACGTAACATGAAGAAACAGGTAGATGGAAAATACAAGAGAACTTAACAGACATTAAGAACAGACTGAAAAGGTCTGACATATGATGATGGTTCAGTCTTAGAAAGACAATCTAAAGAAATGAAGACGTATAATCAGAGATAATGACTAATATTCCAAAAATGAAGAGATGAAGTCCACAGATAGGAAAGAATATATACCAAGATGAATAACGAAGAAATCTACACCTAGTTATATTTAATATAACTGAAGAACACCCAAGACAAAGATTTAAAAAGCTACCAGAAAATAAAGAGGTTCTACAAAGGAACAATAACTACACTAAGAGCTGATCTCTCAACAAAAAGAGAAGTTAGAAGATTCTGAAGTATTATGTAATCAAAGTGCTAAGAGAATTTAGCTGTCTACCTATAATTGTGTACCCAGGTCCCAACAATTAAAGAATATGCATTTTTCTCAAATAAAAAGAGGGCATATACAAAAACTGACCACAAAGTAGGCTTTAAATCAAATCTCAATAAATTTCAAATAATCACCACCTGTTCTGATTACAGTAACATTAGAAAACAAAAAAGTATTCATAATTTGGAAATTTAAAAACATACCTGTATATCATATATTAAAGTAGAAATCACAGTAGAAACTAAAGAATACTTAGAACTGAATAATAAAAATACTACATATTGAAACATGTGGAATGCTACTCCCTCACACACCCCCTATTGGGATTTTTAAAAACTGGAATTGTAAATATTAAATCTGTTGTTCAAATACAAGAGAATTAACATCTTTATGATACTGTCATAACCATGAACAAGGTTACCTCTTTACTTCTTTAGGGTATTCTTGAAATAGAATTTTATAATTTTCTGGATACAAGTCTTGCTTATTTTTTGTCAGATTTATTTATCACCAGGCATCTTTTTTTGATGCTATTGTAAACAGTATTTTTCATTTCAGTACGTCTTCTGTTGTGTATGTAGAAATGTAATTTATATTTATACATTAATTTTATATCAGATCTACATATGACATTTGAATGATGTATTTATTTCTGTACTTTCTTTGGGGTTGCTATATAGATTTCATTATCTGGAAACAACACTTTTGGTTTTTCCTCTCTAGTCTTCATACTTTTTACTTCTTTTTCTTATGTTACTGTGTAATCTAGGAGCTATAGCATAATGCTGAACAAAAATGGTGATTGTAGGCATTCTTGTCTTCTTGATGTTTAAAAGAATACTTCTAAACATTACCCATTGAGTAGAAAATTTGCAGTAGGTTTTTCAGAGATACCTTTACCAATTTAAATTTTTTCCTTTTTTTTTTCTTGGCAGTAAGAATGAGCAGCATTTACTATTGTCTCAGATGAGGCTGGGGAAGGAAGAGAAAGCAATAGCAGGGAGAGAAATTTAGAGGGGGAGACTGTATTATTTCATCCTCTGTGTCTTGAAGTTTTCTGTCTTCCCTGCAGTGGGAACCCCAGATAATGGTCTCAAGGCAGGGCCAGGGCGGAGTTTCTGGCAATTGCATCCTGCAGGGAAGGTCCAGATCAATGGTCTCTCTCAGAATTGCTGATACTAGCAAGCAGAGCCTAGGAGCCAGCTCAGTGAGGGGGCTGTAGCTGGGGGGAGTGGTGAGGGGGGAGAAGCAGGGACCAAATTGGGGTCACAGTTGATGAGTTCATGACATGCCCCTTCCTCCCTTGATAAACTGTGAAATCCATTTGTCCTTGGCCAGGATGAACTCAATGAGGAGATGGTTGTCACTTCTGGGCATATACAGAGGGCCTACAGGAGGATTTGGGGAGGCGCCTGTTTGTGCTCATATCCTGGCCTGTTTCCCAATACACGACCCTGGAAGTTTGCTTGTCTTTCTGCTTCTTCCTTTCCCTGACCAGCTGCTTTTGAATCCAGAAAGCCTGGTTCCACTCCACACTCTGCCTTTCTCTTGCTTTGTCTTCCTGTTGGCTCTTTCTTCTGTGTCCAGTGTCTCCTTTTTGGTGTCTCTGTCTGTCTCGTTTTTCTCCCTCCTGCGCTCTCCTTCCTGATGGATCTGCTGACCTTCATATTAGCACTGACAACCTTGGCCCCAGGCAGTTAGGCCAGAAAGACAGCTCCAATGGAATGTGAGAGATAGTGCCATGCTCACACAGCCTAGTGATTCTAAAAAAATTTTCCTTTATTTTTTAACCATAAGTGGGTTTCAATTTTTATTTAATGCCCTCCTCCTCTACACACTTTTTTGCATTTACCAAGATAGCCATATGGTATCCTTTCTTCTAGCATGTG